TCCTTTCCTCATTGTGTGGTCTTGGCATTAAAGATCATTTGATGATATATGTGAAGGTTTATTTCTGGGCTCTCTATTCTGTTTTACTGGTCTATATATCTGTCGTTATGCCAGTACTATACTGTTTTTGATTACTGTAGCTTTGTAATAGGTTTTGAAATCAGGAAGTGTAAGGCTTCCAGCTTTGTTCTTCCCAAGATTGTTTTGACTACTCATTGACCTTTGAGATTCCATAACGAACTTTAAGATGATGTTTTCTGTTTCTGCAACAACAGCAAAAAAAGCCATTGGGATTTTCACAGGGATTGCATTGAATCTGTAAATTGCCTTGGGTAGTATGGACGTTTTAATAATTTTAAGTCTTCCAGCCCATGAACATAGGATGTCTTTCAATTTATTTGTGTCATCCTTAATTTCTTTCAGTAATGTTTTATAGTTTTCAATGTCTAAGTCGTTTGCCTCCATGGTTAAGGTTATTCCTGAGTATTTTATTCTTTTTGATGTTACTGCAAATGGAATTGTTTTCTTTATTTTCTTTTCAGATTGTAATTGTTAGTGTGTAGAAGCACAAGTGATTTTTCAGTATTGATTTTATATTCTGTAACTTTGCTGATTTGTGTATCAGTTCTAACAGGTTTTTTGTTTGTTTTTATTTTCGTGGAATCTCTTGAGTTTTCTACTTGAGAAAGAGTGTCTTATCTTCAAACAGATCATTTTACTTCTTTCTTTTCAATTCAAATCTTTTTATTTATTTTTCTTGCCTACATGCTCTGGCTGGGACTTTGAGAACTGTGTTGAATATAAGTGTCTAGAGTGGGCATCCTTGCCTTGTTCCTCATCTTAAAGGAAAAGCTTTCAGTTTTTCGTCATTGAGACTGATGTTAGCTGTGAGCTTTTCATATATGATCTGATTTTGTACTTTTTAAATGCCATCATTTAATACATTTTTACCTTTGAGCACGATTAAACTAAAGAATTAGTAGATTAGATTGTAGAGAAGGAACGAGCTAAACAGACAACTTATTAAAATTAAGTATGATACAGTGAACTTGAATCAAAAAGCCACTACTTATTTCCTGGGAAGATGAATTTCTCTCTTTAGCATTTGGCACTGCAGTAGTTCCCCTTTATCTGCAGTTTCCTCATTTTCAGTTACCTGTGGTCAACTGTGGTCTGAAAATATTAAATCAAAAATTCCAGAAATAAAGAATTCATAAGTTTTAAATTGTGTGAGTAGTATGTTCTGAGTAGTATGATGAAATCTCACACCTTCCTGCTCCATCCTGGAGGATGTGAATCTTCCCTTTGTCCAGTGTTTCACACCCATTAGTCACTTTATAGCTGTCTGGGTTATCAGATCGACTGTTGTGGTATTGCAGTGTTAGTGTGCAAGTAACTCTTATTTTACTTAAAAATGGCCCCAGATCACAAGAATAGTGATGCTGGCAATTCGAACAGGCTAAACAGAAGCCATAAAGTGCTTCCTTAAAGTGAAAAGTTGAAAATTCTCAATAAGGAAAGAAAAAAATTGTATGCTGAGGTTGCTAAGATCTATTGATAAGAACGAATCGTCTATCTGTGAAATTGTGAAGAAGGAACAAGAAATTTTGCTTGTTTTTGCTGTTGTACCTCAAACTGCAAAGTTATGGTCACAGTGCATGAGTACCTGAAGATGGAAGAGGCATTACATTTGTACAATAAGATATTTTGAGAGGCCACATTCACCTCCCTTTTATTACAGTCTATTGTTTACAATTGTTCTACTTTATTATTAATTATTGTTGTTAATCTCTTACTGTGCCTAATTTATAGATTAAACTTTATCATAGATATGTATGCTTGGCAAAAACACGTATATGTAGGTTTCAGTACTACCTGCGGTTTTAGGCGTTTACTGGGGGATCTTGGAACATATCCCCATGGATGACGGGAGTACTCCTGGATTGATCAGATCTTCCTCTTATTGTTTCCTTGCTCAGTTTTCATGTCTTCGTGGTTCTCCTACCACTCTGACTGTTCCTTCAGTCATCGTAATTCCTCTTCCTCCTCTCGTTTTGTAAATGTGTGAATCCCTTGAGGTTCTGTTTGGAGAAAAAGAACCTCTTTTCTCACTTTGTGTTTTCTTTCAATGATCTCATTGACCATCATGGCTTCTGTCATTATCAGCATGCAGTTGGTTCACAAACCTGCCTCTCCTCTTAGGTTACAGTTCCTTCTTTGGTTCTCTTTGGACATCTACATCTAAATGTCTTACTGGAACTTGAAGATTCCCGTAATTAAACATAATTATCTTTCTTTCTACCCTTCTTTTGTCCTCTTCATCCTCTGTCTCTTCCCAAATGTGGTTGGTGTGCTGCTCCTGCCATGCCTTTGCTCATGTCATTTCCTTTCCTGTCCTTGGGAATACCTTTCCTTGTACTCTTCAGTATACTTCAAGGTCAGCCTCAAATATCTTTTCTGCAAAGTTCTAACCTCAGGTGCAGATGACCTGCTTGTTCTTTGCTCTAAAATTGGGGGTTTCGTACAGGCTGTTTCTTAAATTATAAAGCTCTTCATCATTTTTGTCTGTGTTTGCTTTTCTAGCCATGTATCTAGCCACTCCCCCTCAGGAAATCTCTAATTCACCACATAATCCACATAGAATCACTTCTTGTTCCTCAGGACAGGGCTGTATGCTTTCATGCACATGTCATTTCCCCTGGGTGGCATATCTTCCACTTAGTGCTTTTTAGGGGTGTGAGTGGATTGAGTTGATGGTGGTGATCTTTGAAACTAGTCCTGTAGAGATGACTTCCATCACATAGGTAGTTGTCCTCCATGTAAGTTCTACAGGCAGTTTGGCATAGTGGAAAGAGACAGAATTTGAGCTGTGATTTAAAGCCTGGTTTTGATATTTACTAGCTATGTAAACTTTGGTACTCAGTGTTTCTGAACCTCTATTTCCTGATCTGTAAAATAGGGACAGTATTTAACCTTATGGGGCCAATACAAAGTTTAAATGAGAAACTGCATATGAAATGCCAAGCATATGCTAAGCCCCCAATAAATGTTGTTAAAGGAAAAAAGAAATGAAAAGAAAACGAAAAAGAGAAGCAGCAGCTGTTACTTTCTCTTCGCAAGATCATTTGTGTACGATGGGGACTTGGGAAAAGGTGTCAGACTGAGACAGGGTGCAGAAGGCAGAGCACAAAGGATATCTTCCTACTCCTGGGGAAGTAGGTTTGCCCACCACAAGTTCTAGCTAGAGAATAAGAGAAATTTCCTCCTGCAGTCAACTAGTGACGTCTTCCTTATGCTCACACAGTACTTTGTTCATCTCTTTTAAAAAAGAAATGCTTTGCTCATATTGTCTGTCCTGTCACCCACTCTGCCTTCTCCTGTATATTTTCCATATTGTCCCCAATATGGTGTTTAATTGCAGATTGTATATGTTGCTCCCTTCCACTCTTTCAGTACAGATAAATCCTGACTCCTTAACAAGAATTATAAGGCTCTTCATGATCTGGTCTTCACCTCCCTTTCTAGCCTAGTTTTTCACTGTGCCCTGTGCAGTGGGCATTTGATATTGTTTGTCCATTATCTGAACTCCTTTCATATATCTGGGAAATTCCACAGCATCATGGTGGAAGACAGGACCTGCCTTACATCTTAGATATCGAGAAGTTTAGATACTCATTTCCCCTGCTCCCTGGCAGCTAGGGCATAGGAATGTGACCCAGTCCCAGCCAGTGAGACTTTGAATCTGCAGAGAGTGACACAGAGGATCAAGTAAAGGGTCAGTGGCAACAGTGATGGCCTCATGTTATATTGGCAGTGATGTCTCCACCTGCTATTCCTATGAGTAGTTTCAGCTGTGGTTCTGTGTAGCCTTGATTGGTAACGACTTAGAGCCTAGATTTTTCCCTTGTTTTGGATCTTTGAGGTTATCCATTGCTTTGCCAATAAACTCCTTATTTGTTTAAAGGAACTCAAGATAGTGTCTATTATTTGCATTTATAAAGAGCCTTGACTCACACAACCCTCTGGTATAATCTTCCTGCGGTCCTTCTAGATTGACCATGGTCGTCTCTGCCTCTGGGCTTTCTCACGTTGTGTTCTACCTGAAAAGTTCTTTACCCTATTCTCAAACTGTCTGAGTCTTGATGGTCCTTCAGCGACTCAGCTCTGATGTGTCACTTTTTCTGTAAATCTTAATTCTTAAGATTGGGTTGGCTTCTCAGTTCCCACAGAAACCTCTGCTTACCTCTGTTATAATACTTAGCACACTCTGTTGTAATTGCCTTGACATTCCTTGGAGATATGGGCTAGTAATATCTTTGCATTGTCCCTGGCAGATAATAATTACTATCTAAATTTTATCTGTTGAATGAATGAAAAACTATTGGATTATACACTGTGTTATATTAAAATTTGTCTATTTGCATGTCTGTTTTTCCTAATAAACTGTGAATGTTTTAAGAGCAGGGACCAAGTTCTTCATGTTATATCCTTAATTTGTAGCATGATATTTGGCTCATAGTAGACGCTGAGGGAAAGTTGAATGCATGATTGAATGACTAAGTGGCAGGGCTGTCTTTTTAGAATTTCAATTAAACAGTTTTTCCCAAAAGAAAATATCTTCTTTGATCATATAGGTAAAGATGAGCTATCTGCACATGGCTCATATTAAGCAATTGACATTCTCAACTCCTTTGTGCCAGGATTGGTAGTCTAGTTAGAAGATAATGTGTACACATGAAAGAATAACTATTTGACAAGCCAAATTTTTTATGTGCCAAGTGAGTGATATACAGGTATTGCTTCAGTGTCAGGCTAAATATAACATTCTTAACTGAGCCTTCGAAAGTGTGGTACCTAAGCAACTACTTAGGAAATGGTTGTTGGTTAATTGGATTTGTTAAAATGGAAGCCTGTAGTAGGCTGTGTCTTTCTGTTTTACTTGGTTTATATACTGCTTATTCTGGACTGGTTCATTGGAACTTTTCCTCATTCCTTTTTAGGTCCAAGACAACTTTGACAAGATTGAATTCAATAGGATGTGTTGGACCCTCTGTGTCAAAAAAAACCTCACAAAGAGTCCCCTGCTCATTACAGAAGAAGATGCATTTAAAGTATGGGTTATCTTCAACTTTTTATCTGAGGACAAGTATCCATTAATTATTGTGCCAGAAGAGGTAAGGTGTGGCTCTTCGAAGTTCTTACATGGCCGTCTTAGCATTTAATAAATCCGACTTGGAAGTATTTGTGTTAGTTCGGTGTAACTATGGAAGGAGATCCTATACTAGTGTTTTTGGATCAGAGGCAAAAAAGCTTGAATCCAAAAACGTCCAAAATTTAGTCATTTGGAGTCATGCAATACCCTTGCAGACAGTGTGAGACTCTTCCTTTGTAAAGTGCTGTACTTATAGATGAATCCATCCTCATGTTTAAAGAGTCTTTATTCAGTACAAGTCACAACATAATTTTCTCTCTAGTTATGTATTGTCAAAACCCTAAGAACTGGCCAAGTGATGCTATATGGGAAACACGTAGGATCCAGAATGTGGTTCCCAAGGCTGATTTATGTGAGGAAATATTCTTCTTGTTTCAAAGTCAAGGATGGAAACTTTTTAAACTATTCTTTCCAAAGTAAATGTAAAAGACATTTGCTTGTTTTGTTCTGGGTTATTTTCCCTGAGCTTCCAAAGTGGGGGAAAAAATACAAGAGTAAGGTTTCTGTGCTATCTTACTGCCCTAAAAAATGATGCAAGTAATACATGCTTATTACAGTAGCAAATTTAGAAAAGACTAAGAATATGCAGATTAATTGGCTGTGGTCCTCCCCTTAAAAAAAACCATCTGTAATCTTCTAACCTTGGACAACTTATTTAACCTCTTGAGTTTTAATTTCCTCATGTATAAAATAGGGCTCATAACAGTGTTTAAGGTTTGGGAGGTGCTGCATTTAAAGGACTGAGTAAGTGAAATAAGTCAGACAGAGAAAGGTGAATACTGTATGATTTCACTCATATATATAAACAAACAAATAAAATAATTGAACAAACCAAACAAAAATAAACATGTAGATACAGAGAACAGAGCAGTGGTTATCAGAAGGGAAGTGGGGGTGGGGCAGGTGAAATAGGTAAAGAGGGTCAAATGTAAGGTGAAGGATGGAAACTACACTTTTGGTGGTAAGTACACTGTAGTGTATACAGAGATAGAAATACAGTGTTGAATACATGAAACTTATTTAGTGTTATAAACCAATGTGTTACCTCAATCAAAAATAAATCTAAAATTAAAAAAATAATAGTTAAATAAAATTGTGACTAGGGGAAAAAATAAAGGCCCTAGCTCAGTGCCTGGCATAGAGTATGTATTCAGTAAATACTGTAGTACGTATGTATTCTACTGTAAAATCTAATGTAGACTAGTATTATTGCATACATTTTTGCACACTAGTCTGCTTATTTCCATAGGATAAATTTCCAGCAATGGAATTCTGAGTCCTAGGAAACGTACACTTTCAAGGTATTAGATGAACGGGGCAGAATCGCCCTTCAGAAAGCCTGTACCAATTTATACACCTACCAGCAGTGATTGAGGGTGCCCGTTATTACCCATGCTGCCAATATGGAGTCTGGTTTGTGATTTATTTCTATGATTCACCTTCATGTTAGGAAAATCTGTTTAAAAGTTCACATTGCAGTCTTTTATTTCAAATCAGCAAGCGTTTTTCAATTCCCAACAATAAACGAGGCAACAAGAGGAATACAAAGTGAAAAAGATGACTTCCTGCCTTCAAGGTATTTGCAGTCAGCTCAAGGAGGAAAAAAAATCAAGTGTAATTCAAAATGAAATAGACTACCTGTTATAAGAGAGATGCAAATGCCATGCAAATGCAGAAAAGGGAAAGATTTATTCCAGCTTGCAGGAAGTCAGGGATTGGGAAGGCTTTTTAAGAGAGGCAATATAATGAATGTAGCGGTTAAAAGCAAGGTCTTAAACTTTTCCAGGAAAGGACCAGACAGTAAATACTGGAGGTTTTGTGGGCTTTCTAGGCCGTATTCTGTCTGTTATGGCCACTCAACTCTGCTGTTCATAGTGTGAAAGCAGCCGCAGACTCTACGTTGCTGTACTTTAATAAAACTTTTATTTATGGATATTGAAATTTGAATTTCATATAATTTTCAAGGACCATATAGTATTATTGTTTTAATTCCCACCCCGCCTCCCCAACCACTTAAAAAATGTAAAAACTGCTTAGAACATGGGTGTGTGAAAACAGGCTGAGAGCCAGGTTTGGCTGCTAGGGTAGATATGACTCGTGGATTATGATTTGGTGTTACCTGGTTAAGAGCAGTGGTCTGGAGTCAGATTTCTTGGATTTGAATTCTGACTCCATCACTGTGGACTAGTTGTGTGACCTTGGGCAAATTGCTGAATTAGTTTTTGCTGCAGTTTCCTCAACTATAAAATAAAGCTAATGCTAGTATCTACCTCCTACTGTTTTTTGCAAAGATCAGATGAGAAGAATGCCTGGCCCTTAGAAAGTATACATCAAGTATTAGCTATTATGTTTATGGGGAAAGTGGAACTTACACTGGGCCTTAAGAGATGGGAAGAATTTTGACTAGTAGAGAAGGCAGAGGAGAAGAGTTCTGAATGGAAGGAGCAGTGGGCAAGGTTATGTGAAGCAGGAAGACAAAGGGCATGTCTGAGATCTGTTTGAGGTATCCAGCTTGACTGAGTTGCCAGTCTTGCAAACAACCAGACTGGCTGACATAAGCCAAAAAGAATTTTTAAAAAGGATGTGAGGTAGCTTCCATAATGGCTATAAAGGCTGAAAACCAGGTATGGAGGCTCTGCAGTCTGAAACTGTGCTGGTCACTCAGGTGAGGGACTGCGGGGAAGGTGGGTATTGCACTTGTACCGTGGAACACCCGTGGCCCTGCACGTGGGGTGCTGCCCAGGAACTCAGATCTTCCCGCAACCGTTCTTGCTGCCACAGAGGTTTCTGGGCCCACCTCCCAGTGTACAGGCAGGGCATGATGCATCTCATTGTTATGGCCTGGGTCAGGTACTGTGAGCTAGCTACAGAGGAGGCCTGGAAAGAGTCTGTTTGCATTTTTAGCTTCTGCATTGAGAATTCCCCAGACATAAGAAAGGGGTTCATTGCTGAGCAGTCAAGAAGGATGATACATGTCCTTTCTAACTAGAGTGTGCTGGCCGTGGGGAGATAGTAGACAAGTCTAGGCAACTTCAGGTCTGGGAGATAATATAGTGTAGTTGTTTAAAGCATGATCTTTGAAATCAGACAGCCTGGTTTAAATACGGACTCAACTACTTTTTAGCTGGGTGACCTTGAACAGATTAATCTGTTTGGGTTCCCTGACCTGTAAAACGGGAATAACTACTTTCTTCTTTGGACTCTTATGAGGACTAAAATAGTTGATGTATGTCAAGCATTTACCACAATAAGTGCTCACTCAGTCGAGGCTGGAGGGAGGTATGTATGAATGAATGGCGGGGTGATGAACAAATTAGGGATATAATGTATGACAATGGGCTTGGTACATTTGGCATTTTGAGAGGAACATTCTTGTGGATCTGTCCTGTTTCGATTGGAAGAGCACGTTTAGAGCTTGTGAGAGGCTAGCCTGGAGCTAGAGACAGGGAAGCCAAGGGAGTAGGTTAGATCAGGGAGGGAGGAAGAAACGGTCGTGGGAGAAGTGAGGGTCAAGGACAGAACCTCCAGGCCCCTTTCTGTAGCAGGGGAGGAAGTCGACTTGGTAAAGGAAGCTGAATTAGATAGCCTGAGAGGCAGGAGGAGAACTGGGAGAGTGTTGAGTCACAGGCGGCAAAGACAGGAGAAGTTCTAAGCAGCAGAAAGGTAGTTACTGGCATTAGATGCTACTGAAAAATTGGAGGGTGATAAGTGAGAAGTTGCCCTTGGATTGAACAATTGGATGGTCATTGGTAATCAAGGAAAAGGCAGTTTCACTGTGGTGGTGGGAACAGTTTCTTAGTGCTTAGTAACAATTATGATGTAATGGTGCACATGTGTTAAATGGGCAGTAAAAACTAAAACATGCTATGGAATTTTTGTCCACAAAAATTGTCTAGTTTAATACAGAGACATAGAGAAGGGAATGGGATATAGATAGGTGTAGAAAACAATATACTGATGGTATTTTTTAAAACCTAGCTGCTGCTTGTAAGAATTATGCTGATTAAATCTCTAGTATCGTCTTTTAAGATGTTTTGTAGTGACACTTAACGTGTTCTAAATTTATTTGTATTTTCTGTGGAACTAGAGATGGGATGGGTCTCTTACCTGTGATCTTTTGGTTCTCTCCATCACTAAAATATTCATGATAGACTTGAAAGTGACCTTGTCCTGATTTAAGAATTAGAAATTAGTAGGGAGACTTACCTTATTCCTCGAAGCAGCTCTTCCTTGATGTGGAGGACTCGTCGTTGGCTTTAAACCATCACTGAGTCCCAGGCTGTGGGGGAGTCAGTCAACACCAGCTTCCTGACTGCTCTGCCTAAGACGCTCAAAAGATTTCTGCTTTAGGGGGCTCGAAAAACTGGGACCCACATGAGCCTTGATGTGGGCCGTGACTTTATTTTTCTGCATCCAGAGCCTGTCCAAGACTCCACAGCTTGCTTGCCTTCATCTTCGCTGGCTCACAGGAATGTCTTGGTCCTCTTTCTAGACAAATTAATCTCGTTTGAGAAGGGAACAGCCTCTTTTTGTCTTGTTAGGGTAGTCAGGCAGCATACCTTGTCATGTCATTGTTTGGACTTACTCTGTTGTTTTGATGTCCTAAACTCGCTCAGCATTTCTTCTGGATAGAAGTAGAATTAGAGTTAGTTTTACAGATGATTCCTCCAGGAGTACTTGTGTGGGGAAAGAAGGGGTCATTAAAACAGATTCATGTGGAATTGCTTTGTCTGGCTGCTGAACCAGCCTCCTATGCTTTAAAATACGACCTTGTATTTATTGAGCTCTTAGCACATCTCCTGGCTTTTGTTCAAGCCCTGCAAAGTTAAAGTTGCACATTTTATGAAAAACACTAGAGTCATAATATTTCCTAGGGCATCCATTTTCTGTTAGGTTTTGCTTCCTTCCTAAGTTCTTTAATAGCATTTAAAATAAATTTTGAACTAGTTTTGGACTTAACAGATTTTAGTAAAATTTAGTATGAAAACAGATACATTTAAAAAAATTTTTGAAGCATAATGTTTTAATTTGTCATGAATGTATATATGAGTCCGATTTGTAATATTTCCAACAGTTTTTAGGCTTTATAAACTTAAGATAATTTTTATGTTTCCAATAAATCATCTACCATAGTGATCATTTTCCTTTTGATTAAGTCTAGAATGTTTTTAGGTAAGATTTTATTCTCCAGCTTTAATTAATACTATATAAGATATAAGTAACAGTGGTAGTTTTGTGAATAACATAAATGGTATAAGTAAGTTTGCTTTTGACTCAGTTTCCCATCACTCAGAAGGTAGTGTCAAGAATGCTGAATAAATATTTAAGCGACTTACCACACGAATGTCAGGAAATGGTATTTCCCCATTTGAGATGGTTTAGTAATTTTTGTCAAATGATATTCCTGGAAATGTGTCTGTAAATTACAGTTTTTACATTAGTATTCATTTCCCACAGAGCCAAGAACAAAACAGGATGTGTCTGTTGCTTATTTGGAAGAATTGCCTTCATTCAATTAAATATCAAACCTGAAACAGTTTTAAGAGAACCTCAGTGAAATAAAATGTGAATTGTTGTTAAGTCAGTAAAGGCCCTATTTAAGCATTACAGGGAAAGAACTTTTAACAAAATAAATTTTAGAACCAGAGGCCTCAAAAATCACATGCAGCTTGAAAGTTTATTCTTTGTTATTTTTGGTGCAACTTGCCCTGGAAGGAGGAAGTAAGCTGCTTCCTGAAACTGAATAAGCTCTTAGAATTGATGCAGCCACTCAGACTAACACAGCAGCACGTGATGTATTATTTAGTATAACTGAATAGTTGAGAATGGGAATGTTTGTCTCTCCTTGACCCAGTATAATGAATTAAGAGGTCTTTAAGTTATTTGGTTATGATAAGTATATGATTGTGTTAAAAGTCAACAGGAAATGAATCTAGATTAGTTGCCTGGCACAGTCACCGGGAATGCTGAGCAGATGCTGATGACCAGCTCCGAAGTGTTGGGGAGGGAACCTTCAGAAAGGTTCAAGATGAACCAGGAAGCTGCCTCTAGAGCTGAGTTTGCTGCTAACAGGAAGCACTGTAATAGACCATCCAGTATACAAGAAGAATGGCAGCTCCGAGTGTGGGGGGCGTGGGTTCATTCGCCGTGGTAGGTGAGGAAGAACCAAGGCTATCCCTGACTCGCAGTGTGGATGGTCAGTCTGACGCACCATCTTCTCACGCCCGCTTTTTGTCATCCTGTCCATACATGTGGCCACACCGATGGCCTGCACAACCTTTATCCCGAGTTGTGATCAGGCAGCATGGGCCCCTCTTTTTGCTGCATTGGGGGATTGAACTTCTGTTTCTGTTAGTGCCTCTAAGTTATTTTACTTCAGTCAATTATTTATATAATTTATATAATTTATATAATTGACTTTCTTTTTCTCTCTTGTCTCTTATTGCCTATAATCTTTTTTCCTTCTCCTTTCTGTCCTGTTCTCTCCTTCCTTCTTCCCATTCTCCTCTTCTCCTTAACCCTTTCCTTTTTCTCTTTTCTGCTGTCTGTCTCTGTTACTTCTGTTTAAAAGCCAAGAAAATTATATCTGATAAGCTTAACAGCAGATGATACATCTCCAAGAGAAAAGAAAGACCTATGTGTGTTTTTCTCCAGCAAGTAAACATTTGTTGAACACCTACTGTATGCTAGATTTAGGGTATTAGATAATCTCTATGCTAGAGAAGTTTATAATATCTCATCAGATTGCATCGATAGATCTCTTGACATTTTTTTGACCTTGTGATATTTTGTGAATGTACATTTCTTTGCAAACATGTTTTTCCTATTGTTGGCATTTTTCTCTGTTAAGGTATGTTATTTCACAAGCAACATTATAAGCAAATTATTGGAAGCGCAAAAGAGAGGAAGAAAAAAATTCGCAATCCTATCTGTAACAAATTAGACTTACTGTTTGTGTGTTTTCCTCTAGTGTTTGTCAAAATATTCACATAATTTTTATGCATTAGAAGTCATAGGTAGATTTATTTTTGTGTTCTTCTTCACTTCGTTATTTCATAAATGCTTTCTAAAATGGTTGAATAATATTCCACTCAGTACAGAAGGAAGTAACATTGATGGAGTACTTACTATGCCAGACATTGTACACATTGTTCTGTATTTGTCTCATTTTATCCCTGTAGTAGTTCTATATGGTGAATGGTGTTATGCCCATTTCATAAATGAGAAAATCCAGGCTTAGTTTATTTTCCTTTCATTAATTGAGCTCTACTATATTCTATGTACAATGCTGAATTCTGGAGATTCAAAGATGAGTGGGACATTGTCTGTCCTATAAGGAATTCAACAAATCAACGGGGTGGAGGTGGGCAGCAAATCAGTATAGAGATGATTCAATATAGTATGCTGGGTGCAGTGACATAGAAGAGGGACACCTGATCTGGGTCAGAGCAGTTTTTACCAGAGCAGCACTTCTCAAACTTTAATGTGCATGTGGAAGTACCTGGGATTCTTGTGCAGATTCTGGTATTTGGGTGTTTGGTGGGGTGTGACAGTCTTCATTTCCAACAGGCTTCCAGGTGCTGCTGGGGCACATTTGGGATTGTTTGGGAATATTCCAGATGGTGTAGGAGTTGAACAGATACTAGTTAGCCAGGAAGAGAAATGAGGAGAGGTAATCTAGACAGAGAGGACAGTTTGCAGAAAGGTGTAGAAGCATAAAGAAGTGAGTTAAGTGGGTGAACTACTTATAATCTGTAGCAAGTGTTGGCAGACTACAACTTGCTGGCTGAATTCAGCTTGTTTTTGTATAGCTCATGTATTAAGAATAGTTTTACATTTTTAAAGGGTTGTTTTTTTAAAAAAACCAAACAAATAAAAAAACATATACCAGAAGTGTATAAAGTCTTAAATATTTCCTCACCAGCCCTTTTGAGAACACACTTGGGATCTGTGGTGAAGGTGGTGCTGGTGGACTGTAAAATCTGCAGCGGGGCATGGCGGAAAACATCTTAGTAGACAGGGGCATGATCAGCAGGGGACGCAGAGGAGCTTGGCCTTTATCTTTGAGGTGATAGAGAGCCAGGGCAGGGGAAGTAAAGAGGGGAGTAAAAGAGGGGAAGTAAAAACAGTAGGATTTTATCACTGATTTGATGTAAGGGAGTGGGAAAAGGATCCTGGCACGGGTGAATGGTGTTGCTCCCAACGGAAATCAGTGGGAGGAGAATCTCTTCGGAAGGTAGAGGTGGTTCATTCAGTTTTTGGACGTGTTGAGTTTGGGCACTGCAGGATACCCAGGTCTTCCAGAAGGTAAGAGAGATCAATTTCTCATTCAGTATGACTGCTTCACTGTCTTGTTTAGCCGTTACTATTTTAGAACTTTTAAAAAAATTGAACTATAGTTAATGTATAATGTGTTAGTTTCTGGTGTACAGCATAGTGATTCAGTTATACATATATGTATATTCTTTTCATATTAACTGTTATTCAGTAGCAGGTTTTTTCTACTATTTTTCTATACAGAGGTATGTGTTCCAGAATTTAATTAGCTTTTCCATCCCAGGCTAGGAATTCAACCATTGTTTACAACATTGTCAGTGTTCTGAAGAAGCAGCATGAATTTCAAGTAATTGACTTTTGTGGAAAATTTGTAAATTGGGGACTAACTTGAAAATACTTTGAGATGCTTATTCAATTTAGTGCTTGCATATTGGTTCAGTAAAATTAGTATTCTGGTATGTTGAAATCCAACAGAAAGTAATCTAGTCACATCAGTTAGTTTGTATATACAGTGTATGTGTGCAGTGTGTTTGAGTTCTGTATACAAATATTACTATACTGTACAAGGATCCGGTTTTTTATTCCTCTACTTATTCTAGGTTAATATAGAGTTATTGGCATTTTATCCATACCCTTCTCCCTGATACTATTGTGAGTCTTTAAAGATACAGTTTGGGAACTATGCAAGAGTATTTCTTAAATTGACCTTATCAGTGTAAATAACATAGATGCAAGCTAAGCTAAAAAGTTTTTTTTTTGCTAGGAAATAATAATTTTTCAATTCTTTATATAGATTGAATACCTGCTTAAGAAACTTACAGAAGCTATGGGAGGAGGTTGGCAGCAAGAACAATTTGAACATTATAAAATCAACTTCGATGACAGTAAGGATGGCCTTTCCGTGTGGGAACTGATTGAGCTTATCGGAAACGGACAGTTTAGCAAAGGCATGGACCAGCAAACGGTGTCCATGGCAATTAATGAAGTCTTTAATGAGCTTATATTAGATGTGTTGAAACAGGTAAGAGTCCTGTAACACTGTTTCTCCTCACCTTTAGAATTTGCCATGTTTGCAATACAGCAAGTTTTCATCACAAAGATAAGTATACATCACTTACACTTCTACGCTGATTTAGAACAGGAATAAAGTTTCTTATTTTCTCAGTCTTGTATTAGGCTTTCATTGTAAAGAATCACTGGTGCAGTTTTGAAATGCAGTTAAGCACTGGGAAGTTACTATTTTGAAAGGACTGTTTAAATGATCACATTTCTAAACATTTTTGAAGTACTTTGGCGTCACGTATACATCCATTCTCAGTCATCTGAAAGATCCCGTGGCATGTTGTTCAGTAGAAAAAGAAGAAAACACAGGTTGTTGAGCAGCAGGTATCTTGTAATCCCCTTCATGTAAGGGGATGTGTGTGTAGAGCTGTCTGGAAGGGTGAGTGACAAAATGTTAAAAGTGATCACCTATGAATTGTGAGAGTTCCATGCATTTTATTCTTTGTTCTTTTCTTATTATTGAACTTACTATTTTATGTGTTTATATATATTAATCTCTTTGTATATATTATATTTTTATAAAAAGCAGAAAAATATCCTTACTTTTGGGAAAAAATACCTTTATATTGCAAAGTTGCATTTATCTTATTAGATTAAAATGTTTGTCTTCTCAGCACCTGCATAGCATATGAAATACATATGGGAAGCTTCATGATTGTTAAATAGAATTTATATAGTTTTAATGGATCTTTCAAATGTCTTACATTATTATATTGAATCATAACTCCAATTTGGGATTTCCTAACTTTGGTCCTTTCTTTGCTCCATTAGGTGATATTGTTGTTTTTGCTCTATTCTCCAAATGCAGCCCATTGATAAATTTTAATTGAGGCTTGATTTGTGTAGGTTTTTGGTGTCACAAAGAGGTATGAGACATGGTCTTTTACTGAAGACGATTTCTAGGCCCATTAGGATGGCAGAGTATAGAACTACAGATGAATTTCAGTATGAGATGGCTTTGGCTTAAACGTGCAAAGATTAGGCAACTGAACAAGTAATATGATTAGAACTTAGTATAACAATCAAAAGATGCAGCCAAGTTATTGTCGTATGTTTAACGATATGTATAGTCTATCACAGGCTATGAGCACCTGTAGGTTTAATATTTGAAATGTCAGCTGCTCTTGAACAATCCTGAAGGGCATTGGCCTACAATAATGTGTAGTTTGTTGGAGTAAACTTTTGAGTCACACATCTTTGAGGCCGGTATGTGGGAAGGAAGTACAGGGCTAATAAGTGTGAGTGTAGAAGCTGTACTTAGAAGGCAGTATCCCAACTACTAGTCCAGTTCTTTTTCTGTTCCCTTGAGGCAGAGTTCATCCTCCAGAATCGTGAGAGGTCAAGTAGAGAGGGTGGTGCCAGAGGGTGTTTGGTTGAGAAGATATTCTTAGCCACGTTGATACCTTTTAGCATTTTCATTGATGGGGCTCTAGATTTACTGAGAATCATTTTGTTTGTGTGTGTGTTTTAAAGGGAGCAGACAGAATAGCATAATGAACTCCCTCCCTGATCGAATCACCAACACATGGTCAATTCTCCTCACCTACTTTACCTCCCCATTATCTTGACACAAATCCAGACATTTCATTTTATCTATAAATATTTCAGTAGGTATCCCTAAAAGATAAGGAATTAAAAAAAAAACCCACAATGCTGTTAACATCAGGAGACCTAAGTCTCTTATCTGCATATAACTTGGAGGGGGCAGGGGACATCTTTGAGTGTCTAAAATTCTGTGTAAATTTTACCTGCATGTGCTTGCATGAACTTGACTGGGTACAGTGCCCTGACTTCATAGGTCCTCAAAGGCTCATGATCCACAAAGGGCAAGAACCATTGATATTCATGTGTTCAAGACCATGCATACATAATGGAGTAGGCAAGAATATCAAGGAAGAGATAATCAGCTCTTATAAATAGAAGGATGGGCATTTATATTAGATTTGATCTTTCATAGGGTTACATGATGAAAAAAGGCCATAGACGGAAAAACTGGACTGAACGCTGGTTTGTACTAAAACCCAGCATAATCTCTTACTATGTGAGTGAGGATCTGAAAGATAAGAAAGGAGACATTCTCTTGGATGAGAACTGCTGTGTAGAGGTAAGAGTCAACTGTTAACCTCTTTCCCGTGCTGCCCCCTGCTGTTCAAGTAGTTTATCTTCCTTCTTCTGGACTCCAGAGCCTTATAAATAATCTTAAAATTTATATTTCCAAAATAATATAGGCAATACAGTTGCCATAGTTTCTGAACCAAAAAGTAGAGGTAACTGACAAAATATTTTTCTAATGTGAATTTATTTTCTGTCTTATACTCAAGAAGAAAGTATAGGGATTAAATCTCATTCCTTAAATGATTTAAGGAATCATTTGTTGAATAAAATAGTTATAAATAAGACAACAAAGCAAAAAAAAATCAGTAAGACAGTGTTTGAAATCATGAATATACCATATACCTTGGCCATTTTGAGTGTAATAAATAACCCAAAAGAAGCTGTGAACATTGCTTTGAATACTTAGGGTGACTTTAGGACACTTTATTCACAGCTGCTATCCTGTGAAAAGAAGTGAAGCCCTCAAGAACATAAAATTTTGAGTTTTTAATTTATATGTGAACTATTACCATGTCTGTATTTGTTGAAGAACATTTAAAATACCTAAGATCTCATTCATAAGTGATAATGTGTTTTCACGGATGAGATGGTGTATGTTAATGTCTTAGGCTGTGCAGTTCTCAGGAAGGGGTCTTCTTAGACTCAACTATACATGGAGACTCATGAGATTACCATAGGTCATACCAGTCTACTTATAAGTGTACAGGACGGGAATTGTAGCTTGCCAGCAACAGCATCCCTGGTGCAAGGAAGGGAGAGACGCATCAGGAGGGCATGGGAATCACCCTGGGTTAGAAGCCTCATATCCCATAGGAGACAACACCTATTTTAACAATTCCATGGGTACGTCTTCCAGGGTTCTGTAAGAGACATGCTCTGGTACAAGAGTTGCTGCACTCACGAAAGCCCAAAGCATGGCCCATCAGGTGTTGCTGGCTCTCGAAGTGTAGATGTAGTATATTAATCAGGGGTCATTTTTACCTTAAGTGATGTTGTCTAAGGGGCAACATTAAATAAATCAGTAATATTAATTTATGGGTACTTTTTGTAAAAATAATTAGGATTGAATTTAATCTAAACATTTGAAAATAAAATTTGAAAGACTAATTTTGGTTTCTGTTTTAGTCCTTGCCGGACAAAGATGGAAAGAAATGCCTTTTTCTCATAAAATGTTTTGATAAGACCTTTGAAATCAGTGCTTCAGATAAGAAGAAGAAACAAGAGTGGATTCAAGGTAAGATCATTTGTCATGATATAAGATGAGAGCTCTGACTTTCTGTTTTTGAATCATATTAAATATACCAAGGCTTTGTTTTCTCATTGTCTATAGTTATTTCTATGTGAAACACAGTAGCTAAAAAAAAACAAATTGAGAAGAGTTCCCCAAATTTTCATCAATTTTGTTTGCCTGATGAACTTATAAACTGTGGGAAAATTATAAACTGGACACTTTAGGTTTTATTTACTCTTATTATTTAAAGACTATGGAATTTCCCCCATTTAAGGACTGTAAAGAATTTTAAAGTGGCCTTTTTGAGTATTTAGTAATATGTAAAACAAAAGAGGAATTATGCAATTGGTTTTGAATACTTCAAGTAATTTTCAAGAGCTGTTACTTTCACAAGTAATCACTAGTTTCAAACATTTATCTCAAGAACACAAACTTTTGATTTCACAACTTTTAAGGTAAAGTATTACTCCAAAATTATTAAAGAATGAAATACAATTGATGAGATTTTCTTTTTAATCATGAAAGGAGATTCTGAGTGTTATATTCTTGAACATAGGTAAAATTGTTTTATTGAACATTGTGGTCACTTTGATGTGGTTTAAGAGTTTGAGGTAAGGATTCCTGGCTGGGTCTGAATCCTCTTTCCTGGGTCGCTGGGTTGAGTTAGGGATTCTGTAGTGGCTTTCCTCTTCTGTGGAGTGGGGCTAATTATAGTGCCTGCCTCTCAGGGTTGTTGTGAGGGTTAATAATTAGATAATGAAGACAAACTCGCACATTTTCAAAATGACACATCATTGCAGAAATGTTTGTGTTAGATTACAAACAAATGTCCATTAATTGGGCAATGGTTAAATAGATTATGGTACAGCTACACAGTAGAGAACTGTGCCGTGCTTCATGTGTGTGGACTGATATGGAAAGGTCTCCAAGGTAAATTCAGTGGACAAACCAAGACTCTGAAGAGTGCATTATGCCACCATTTGTGTCAACAGAAGGTGGAGGACATATGTACATGTTTATTTGTACTTGCTTGAAGTATCTCAGGAGAGACGTGCAGAAACCGTTAACGTTAGTGGCCAGTGGAGTGGGGAGCTCAGTACTTGGGGACAGGAGTAGGAGGGAGACTTCATCTATGTCCTTTCATGCTTTTAAATTTGAACAGTGTGAAAGTTCTAGCTATTTAAGTAACTGAAACAAGTAGGAGAGATCAGATTTTATATAAAAATTAGATAATGCATGTAAAGGGTGTATATAAGCAAGTATTCAATACATGGAAGCTGCTGTTGCCACGTCGGGAAGGAAGTGTATAGAGAGATGGTTTCATAAGGCGTAGGGAGGGGCAGGCTGAACACAGCAGGTAGCAAGTCAGATTCCAGGAACTCTGAGTCTCAGCCCTTACTATGTCTCGTTCTTATTTGACCTTTTGGGAAGTATAGAGAAGCAGGTTGAAAGCCGTGTTCTAAGTTCCTCAAATACGTGCGATATTCCCAAATCAAGTATCTGTTTAAGGACAGATAGGCAGTTATGGAACTTGGGACCTGGAAGGGACATTAGAGATCATCTCTCTCATCTTAGAGGTGAGAAACTGATGCTGTAAGAGGTTTTGTGATTTGCTCATGGTCACACCGCTGCTCAGTGGCAGAAGCAGAACCTCTCCTGGGTTTCTGGTTTTCTTCCCACGATGCCATTTACATATTAGGCTTACAAAGAATAAATTCCCGTTTCTTCTCCTGCACCTTTCACAGCCATCCAGTCTACTATCCATCTGTTGAAGCTGGGCAGCCCCCCACCACACAAAGAAGCCCGCCAGCGTCGGAAAGAACTCCGAAAGAAGCTGCTGGCTGAGCAGGAGGAGCTGGAGCGACAGATGAAGGAGCTCCAGGCGGCAAATGAAAACAAGCAGCAGGAGCTGGAGACCGTGAGGAAGGTGGGTGGTCGCTGGGCTAGGGCGCCTTGCGTTCCGCTGCAGCTTTGATTTCACCGAGACAGAAGAACGCAACCATTGGGGTTTTTTCTGATGAACTGTGCTCGCAGCAAGTGCATCTAGACCATGGAGTGAGACGTCCTAGTTTTCCCAGCCCTTCAAAGTATGAGGGTCTCAGGGCAGCAAGGACATTTGATTGACCAGAAAAGAACATTCAGAGAACAATGAGCACAGTTGAATTTTGTCAGAGAAAGATGAGAAGTTGTATCTCCCTAAGGATGTCAACGTCACTTTTGGGTGTCTTGCTTTTCCAGTTTTACCCTTCTTGCCCCCATCTTAACTCATGAGGAACATGAGTGTTAAAATTGTGGGTTTTACATATTATTTGGAGTCAAAGATACAGTCTGGGTCAGCATCTGTTTCCATCTCAGGGCTAGGAGGTCGAGTACCTCAGGCCGTGTGGCAGAGTTGACAATCATTGGGAAACCTTGCTCCTTGGTGTGTTCATCACGGTTCGGGGGTGGTGCTGAGGCTGCAGTGTGTGGACGTGGTTTTTATTTGAGGTGCCTCTGGGTTGTGCCCGTCTATCTTGAATCAGTGGTCACCTGCTAACCACAAGCTCATCCTTTTGTGTCCTCCTGTGCAGCACCTTTGCCCTGGGATGTGGGAGTTGCCCATAGTTTAAGGCCCCCACATTCCTGGTCGGGTTCTCCCTTTGCAGCCCCTGGAAATGTCACACTCTGTGCTGACTTCCTCTGAGTAGACTCACGAGTAAAGACTTTTCTAGTACTTTTATAATCTTACGAACCAGATGGGCGTACAATCTTAGAAATAGTTGTTCCTGTCCAGCACACCTGCATTCTAAAAGCAGCTCCCCAGGTCCTGTGCCCTTCCCCCTGAATCTCTCTTGCATCTTGCTTCTTCCTGCTGCCATGCATTTTCTGTGAAACTCCCTGAGTAGGCCAGGATGAGCACCGCTTCCTCCATTCATTCTGTGCACAGCAGAAGCAGGGATCTGGGCTTAGTGTCCTTCTTTTGTAATTTTAAAAAATTATGAAAAAAGTCAAACATACAGAAGAGGGTGTTAAATTTGTATATATGAATAATCATAAAGTGAAGACCCCTGAAACTACTTACCCAGGTTAAATGGAATATTGCCAGTATTTCAGAAGCTCTACTATCCTTTCCTTCTTTGTAATTAAAAAAAAGAAAACCAGTAAGATTCATGGTTCATGTATATAAAATGTTTGTGGGACCAGTTCCAGCGTGGGTAGGGGAGGGAGTTCCCCAGATGTACAGTCAGCAGCGCTCAGACACTAGCAGGGTGTGTGAGAGTTCAGCTGAGCTTTGACACTGTCTGCCAGCAGATGACATCAGGTTCCACAGGGTTCAGCCCCACAAGACTGGACACCCGTTACCCCCCAGCCCCCGCCTCAGGTGCCAGTCCCACGCCCAGGTTGTGACCTGTGCTTCTGACTGACAGAGTGGAGGTTCTCCTCCTTGGACTTCAGATGCCAGTTGCAAGTCCAGGTTGTTACCTTCACTTCTGAGCAACTGGCTATAAATCAGAGGCTTTTACAACTCTCCTCCTCAAGTTCGATTAATTTGCTTAGAGTGGCTCACAGAATTCAGACACACTTTACTTTCTAGTCACTGATTTCTTATAAAAGGATACAACTCAGGGACGGCCAGATGGGAGAGATGTGTAGGGCAAGGTGTGGGGAAAGGGCATGGAGCTTTTATGCCCTCTCCAGGCGCATCACTCTCCCCAAATCTCCATGTGTTCACCAACCTGGAAGCTCTGTGAACCCTGTGCCTTTGGGTTTTTATGGAGGAGTCATTGCATAGGCATGATTGATTAAATCTTTAGCACTGGTGATTGACTCATCCTCCAGCCCCAGAGGTCAGAGGGTAGGACTGAAAATTCCAACTCTCTAATCACATGGTTGGCTCCATTGGAACCAGCCCCATCCATAGGTGCTTTCTAGAAGTCACTTCATTATCACTCTCAACACTTAGGAAATTACAAAGGTTTGAGGAGACCTGTGCCAGAAACTGATACACATATTTCAGTTCACAAGAGTGAATATATGTATTACTTACTGTAAGTCGCAGTATCATGGTATAGTTTTATGAGTTTTTACAAGTGCTGAGATTCTTGAAACCATCACAGAACAATTCCAGTACCTGGAAGAATTCCTTCATGCTGCCCCTTGTGTTTAGACTCTTCCCTTACTCCTGACCCCTGGAAACCGCTGATGTGTTTTCTGTCCCTACATTTTTGCCTTTTCCAAATTGTCATATAAATAGAATACAGTATGTAAGTTTTTCTCAGATATATACCTGGAGTGGAATTGCTGGGCCATGTGGTAGTTCTGTTTTTACTATTTTGAGGAACCTCCATACTGTTTTCCACAGTGATGGCACCAACTTAACATTCCCGACAATAGTGTATCAGGGTTTGGGTTGTTTGTTTTTTGGTGTTGAGTTGTGTGAGCTGTTTACAAATGTTGGATATTAATCCTTTATCAATTATATCATTTGCAAATATTTTCTCCCATTCTGTAGGTTGTCTTTTTGTTTTGTCAGTGGTTTCCTTTGCTATGCAAAAAGCCTTTAAGTTTAATTAGGTCCAATTATTTTTGCTTTTATTTCATTTGGGAGGTGGATCAAAGAAATGTTGCAGCAATTTACAGCAAAGAGTGTTCTGCCTGTGTTTTCCTCTAGGAGTTTTATGGTGTCCAGTCTTACATTCAGGTCTTTAATCCATTGTGAGTTTATTTTTGTTTATGGCAGCAGGGCTGTTTGGCCGTCTTGTCTCTCGTCTTCCTGGTAAGCCGGCTGCCCCTGTTGGTATGACATCCACTTGTTCATCTCACACTGACTGCTCTACCGGCTGCAGCAGTGCCCCGGGGCCTAACTTGACCCACAATCTGATATTTAAATTCAGACCCACATGTAGTCCTGGAGGCCTGTCTTTGAGACTTACTCCTACTACATCGCGGCTCTTCTTTGCTGTCTTCTCCTGGTTTCCTCTGTTGGACTTCTAGCTGGCCTGTGGTTTAGTCTGCTGGTCTTGTCAACTGAAAAACAAAAAACAAAAAACAAACAAAAAACCGCAAAACCTTAAAGTTGAGAGTTATGTTTTATTTGGGGACCTTGCTGAGGGACTGCAGCCCAGGAGGGAGCCTTTCAGCTCTGAGGAACTAATCTTCAAAACCTCAACCTTCAAAGAGGTAAGGGAAGAGCCAGGTTGTTTAGGAGTTTTTGCTGGGGGAAAAAAGAACCATGTAGTTACTGCTAATCACAAAAACCAAGTGAATGATTATCTCAAGTGAATGATTTTAGTGCTTTTCTATATATGGGAAGACACAAGTCTGGGCTGATTAAGATTATTTCTTAGATGTGCATCTTAATTATCTAGGGCCAGTATTGTTTTTCTCCATCCTGAATTCCCCTCAGGGCACACATAGGGCAGCGGCAGTGGCTGATGGCTTGATGGTGGCAAAATCCTTTGTTTACTTAAGTGGCAGGGAACTTTTTCTCTTTGTCTCTAACGTAGCCCTAGACTGGGCGCTGCAGAGAGAGGGAGTCCGGTGTTCTTGGTTCCATGGCCGTGGGGTAGAGCCTCCTTCTCACTGCCACTGGGTGTGTAGAGAAGGGCCTGCACCACGGCTCAGATGCCACAGACTTTCCCGTAGATGTCCTTGCTGAGATTTAGTTGGTTTCCTTGTATAAATGTTCTCCGTTTGCTGTATGCTTTTAGGATAATTCCAAGAGATTTTAAATAGTTGTTTTTGTTTTTTTTCTAATTATTGTTTCTCTGGGGAAAGTGTCCATGGAGTTCCTCATGCCCCACTTTGGGAAGCTGAGTTCTGGTGAAAGTTTTAAGGAGTAATGTTAAGATGATGAAACTGTATAGGACGAGCTCAGAAAATAGATTCAAACCTCACAAATGCATTTGCAAGTGAATTTAACTAATGACTATACTAAAATTTTCTTTGCAGAATGTTGTTCAGACTTACTAAGATCCATTCATTTACCTAACTAGTTTTGTATATTGACTGCGTAAATTGTTGGAATGGAATCCCAGTGGATCTATATGTTTTTCTTCTGTCTTTATTGAACATCGAGAATGTTTGGCTTCTCCACTGTGTTTAAATGTAACCATTTCTCTCCAAATGCACTTCCACTGTAACATTTCCTGCTTTTCTGTGGATGGGTTTTGGGGCAGAAACTGGAAGAAGCAGCATCTCGGGCAGCAGAAGAAGAAAAGAAGCGCCTTCAGACTCAAGTGGAGCTGCAGGCCAGGTTCAGCACAGAGCTGGAGCGGGAGAAGCTTGTGAGTACCGCTGGCCTGGGGACAGGCTGCCGCAACTCGTAACTCCCAGCGCCAGCCCGGGTTAGCAGAGGGGCGAGGACGGGTGGTAGAAGGGTGAGGACCCAGGAGGCTGGAGTGAGGCCGTCTTGCCAGCTTGGCTCTGCTGCTGCCTTGCATCGGGCCGTTGGGGAAGTTACGTGTTTGTTATTCATTCAATATCGGTTTATTCAGCACCTTCTGTGTGCCAGGCACTGTGCCAGGGATGTAAAGGGAAACCTTGCCCTCAAGACCCCAAAGGAGAAATGTATGGAATGAGGTGACAAGTACTGTGGATGGGATGACTCTATGTCTTAGTTTGCCTGGGGCAGCCTCTCCCATCCTGGTATAATTATTAAAGTGAGGGGTTTCTCAAGTCACGAGAACACGTGAATGCTGGTCTGCTGCTCTGGGCCGCTCTGACTCATCTTAAGGCTTCCATCCCCCAGAGACCCAAGATCCAGGTTGCCTCAGGTAGTGAGCTGGTTGATTGGAACACAGGTCTCCTCACGTTGAGTTACAGTGCGTGGGAGAGCCCAGGGCCTATTAAATAGGTGCTGTGACGTTTCCTGTAGCAACTTTTTGTTGCTTAGACTTGAAGTAGACGCTTTGTGCTGGGAGAGGAAGGCACACGTGGTCTGAGAGGGGGCTGCACTCACAGCCAGAAGATCTGGGTTCCTGTCCTCTCTGCTCCTTTTTATGAGCGTTAGTTTCTCTTCTTCAAATTAGGGGGCTAGTCACATGATCTCTCAGGACCCTAATGGGGATGAGGTAAGCTAATGGAAGTGAGAATACCTTGTAAACTGCAGAGGGATATGCTAATGTGTACCATATTGTATTTAGGGTGTCCTTGTCTTTTAACTTTTAAGGCGGAGATTCAGAACTCTTTAATCCAGAAGGGAGAAACCATAAACTTGTTAGAACACTAGTTAACTGCATGAGGTCTCGCAGAGCTGAAGGTGCCCTACAGGGAGGGAGAGAGGAGGGGTGCTAGGCAGCCAGGTAAGTGCAGGAGGGCTCACTGCAGAGCAGCCTTTCTTCTTCTCTTTATTTCAACCCTTTGGCCACTCTGTGTGGGAATACGTTCATTCCTTTTAGAGAAGACTATTGGTAAAGAGGTTGTGGCTTTAACAAAGAAAGGGGTTTAAAGAGAAATTATACAGGGGAATATTTTTTTCTTGAGTTTGAAATGTGGAGTGAAAGGGATGAGAAGTCCACCAGGGCAGGAGAGCGGCGCTGGGGCTGTAGTCGGCGTGACTGGGCCCTTTGGTTGTGGTCTTGGAGTTGGTGTTGGTGCTGGGAGTGGTGCTCTCACTTCCTCCATCTTCAGGGAGCAAAGGACGGGGCCCTGCAGCCCTGACGGGCTGCAGCTGTGGGCTGTGAGCTGTGGCTTTGCTCAGGATGGTGGTGGAGCAGCGGGAGGCTTTTCCGGGGGGTGAAGTCAATCTGAGTTTAAACATGACCCTTTTACATACCATCAGATCAGGCAGCAGATGGAAGAACAGGTTGCCCAAAAGTCCTCTGAACTGGAACAGTATTTGCAGCGGGTCCGGGAGCTGGAAGACATGTACCTAAAGCTGCAGGAGGCTCTTGAAGACGAGAGACAGGCCCGACAAGATGAAGAGACTGTGCGGAAGCTTCAGGCCAGGTGCCAGATCAGCTCATCCACTGTGCTTCATGTGCTTTGCCTGGGCTCGTACACCTTCTAGGGCTGCCAGAGAGGAGGGTGTCTCTGCCAGATTGGAGAGACCCTGGAGGCTTGACTGGCTGGGTTATTTATTCTCTGGGAATCTGGGACTCTGGAAGACCCTCGCTTCTGGGGCTTAAGACAGGCCTTACATCTGTTTCAGAGCAGTCGGGTGGATGTGTTTGATGGGGGTGCCCTTAGTCATATCCTACAGTGTCAGGGACCCAGGATCAGATCTGGTGAGAACCTGGTTTCTTCCACATGTTCCAGATCTGAGAAACATGTGTACAGGCAGGTGCCTGCTTCCGGCCAGAGTTGCAGCCACTTTGGAGGGTAATGAGGAGCTAAGCAGTTTCCGTTTGGTCATTCAGGATCGGTGACATTCCTTAAATAATTTGTACTTGAAGTATTAGTTTTAGAAGTTCTTGAAACCTAGTTTCTTTTTGTTTTTCCCTTGGAGCTTTTAAAAAGGTCAGGTTTACTGTTTATGATACTCATGATCCCAGAGGAGAACTTTCAGTTTTTGGCCTTTGTAGCAGCAGGGAGGACAGAGTAGAATGAAGACCCCAAAAAGCAAATCTGAGCTACCCTCTCCCACTTTCTAACTTGCTTCTCTGTTTGCTTTCTGTAAGACATCTTGTCAGGAGATGCAGCACTAAAAACTGTTTACCTGTAGCAGCAGCTGGTCAGTCACTTTATGCTTTGAGCTACACCCCCTGTTTGGGGACCATTTATGGGGTGAGCTGGGGTAGATTTTCCGTGGCTGCCATTCCACCCATAGAGCAACCAAAGATGTTCTTTTAATCTTTGTGTGGGGAAGAGAGAAAGAGGGAGGTTTCTTTGTCCTGTATGTTGCCAAAAATAACTTCAAAAATAAACTCATTAGGTTTTGAAAATTTTGATTCTTTTAAGGAAAAAATTATCTTCTAAATAGAAAATTAAATGCTTAGTATATTGCCTGGCATTTATGGGTCCCACATGTGTGCGTTTGTTGTACTGTGGTGCTAGCCAGGTGCTGGGACTACCATCCAGGTGCCTTTGGGCACTGATGTAAGCACACCACCCACGGTGTGGGAAGGTTTGAGTCTCATGTGACTTCCAAAAGAGACATTCTAAGGGACATGTTGAGAGTTTATATATTGCCTTTGTGCAGAGAATTCATGGGAGATATGCTATATATATTTCTCTGCAGTTTTGAGGGAGGTTAATTACAACACAGCAGAGATTAGATCGCATAGGGAACCAGATAACTCTAGAAATGTATTAAGATGTTTTTATTTCATGTTTATAGAATGAGTGATGTTTTGAATAAGAGACAGTTTTAGATAATTGAAACTAGTAGTTTTTAACCAGTGGTAAGTATCAGAATCACCTATAAAGCTTTAAAAAAAATACACTTGTAGGGCCTATCATAAATGTACTGAATCATAGTAACTGTGGATAGGAGCATCCACACCATCCAGGCATGAATGTTGTTGTTTAAAAAATTCTGGCTAATTATTTTATATACTGATTTAAGTAAATGGCAGAATGGTTTCAACCTTTTGAATGCAAGTATTACGGCTACATACAGCTCTGCTCTAATAAGCTGAAATTACTGCACAAAAATTAACTACTTTTTCTTGGTGTATAAAGACCATTTGATGAATTTTACTATTGTACATTATTTTTCTTTCAAGTTAGTTTTTGGAACTTGAAATGGACAGAATTGCCCCCTCTAGTGGTCATTTTTAAGTGAGGCGAAGCTACCTCTTTCCCAAAGTCACAGGAGACTGGGCCTGATTCAGAGGAACATGTTGTCATATTGGCAGAGGGAGCTTTCTCTTTGCTCCCACTCCTCAGGGTAGGCCTTTCTGGGTAGAAAATAAAGGGACATCATCATGGAGTTGAGATGGAAACATTGAAGTTTGGCACTAATGAACTGAAACGTAGTCTTGGGCCAAGGGTGTATGTTGGGGGTTTTTATTTAACCTCCTGTCCTTTCTTTAAACACTACCAAGTCATTCTTGGAATGTCTGGCATCTCATTGTTCTTCCAATGGATGGTCCTTTCTCCTTTCTCTGTCAGTGTCTTAAGTTTCCCTAGAAATAGTTTTTATAGTAAATTGTTCAAATACAAGAACTTGACTTGTAATTTTTTTTCATTAAAATTAAGATGTGTTCTTTTGATGTATAATCCTGAAGGTTTTCTAGCTTCTCCTGCATGGGAACTCTCAGGTCTGTATTCCCAACAACTGGTGTGGCGTCTGGCACCCAGTAAGCACCAAGGAGTCTTTTCTGAACAAACAGATCTAAGCTCCACTCATAGGGCCCAGTGGAATGATAGTCTCTCTTCCACATGATAATACTTTTCATGTATTTGAAGACAGGTTGGGACTGAGCCCTGGAGTGAAGTCTGGGTTTGATTCCCAGCTCTAAGACTTTGTTTCTGTGTAATTTTAGATAAGTTACTTCACTACTTTCAGCCTTAAGTTCCTTATCTATAAATTAATCTGGTAGGGTGGTTGTGCTTAAAAGAAATAGGGCATGCAAAATGTTTAGCCTAATGTTGGGATTTGGTACTCACTCAGACTGTGTTGGTTTCTGTTCCTTTATCTCATTTGCAGATGGGGGAGATATGTAATATATAGAATGTCAAATAAGCATTCAAAAAAGATGTTGACAGCCTGGAATGATGGCTTGAGACCAAGAAGATAATTTAAAATACCAACAAACAAGTACAGGATGCAGGAGACTTGACTTAATAGTAATTCATTTGAAAAGATTCAGGGTGTTAACTTCCCTGTGATATGATTGCAGAACACCTCAGATACCCTCAGAGCCAGTGAGGTAATAGCCCCACCATAGTAATACGAGCTGATTTTGATTCAGCTCTTACGATGTGGTAGGCACTGTTCTAAGTACCTTAATGCATTATCTCTTTTAATGGACCAGCAAACCTTTGATGGTGGCTGTAGTTCCTATTCCTTTTTTATAAATGAAGAAACTGAGGTTCAGAGAGTTTCAAGTCTTTAGTCAGGCATCTTGTTGCAAACCAGAGAAGCCAACTTAGGTTAGCTGAAGCAATAAAAGAATTTCTTGGAAGGTTCTTTAGAAGTTTACCAATTCCTCAGAAAGGCAGGTGGCCTGGAACACAGGCAGGAACCAAGGGAGGCTGGGCAGCCTAGACAGGCCACAGGAAAAGTCCAGCGAGGATGCCACTGGTGCCAACATTGGCCTGTGGGTTGTTTGGTTGATGGTCAGTTGTCCCCATTGCTTCTGCCATCACTCAACTCTGGATGTTTCTGCCACCAGCAAGATAAATTCTCCACTGTCTCTGCTTCTTTATGTCAGTTGCTTCAGAGTCTAAGTTCTGGAAAGGGCATCTGCTTAGCCAAGTCCAGCTTGGGCTTCCTCCACACCCTGGCTGCCCAGGGGCAGAAGGATAGGGTCTGACCTGTGGCTTCTGTGGTGGGAGATGGGCCCTATTTTCCATCCCATTGTGGCTGAGTCCCTAGACAAATGAAGGGGTTCAGTGCTGGGCAGCCTAACCTGCAAATGTCCATTCCTCTCCATACTTTAACTACTGGGATGAAGAAACAGGGTCCTTCCAGTCTCGCTCACTGTTGTATCCTTTGTGCCTAGAAAGACACATGGATGGCATGTAATACACACATGCCGAGAGAGTGAATACACTGCACTGGTCAGCCCTCATTGGCAGTGTTGTGTTCCCTTGTGGATGTCAGCCTCCAAGACGTCTCAGAGGCAGCAGATTGGCCCTTTGTGGAACATGGGATATTGAATGGAAGAGTTCATCTTAGTTGAGAAAGAGCTTTCTAAGGATCAAGGCTGCCCAGAAATAAACTGGCCTGGCTTGTGAAGCAGTGAGTGGTCCATCACACAGAGTAGAACCACCCTGTAGGACGTTGCAGAGGGAATGCTTATAGAGCTAGGGGATTGGGGATGGAGGAGTTGGGGTGGTCAGACAGGGGCACAGAGTCTGTTACATTACTTCTGCTGTTGTTGATTTTAGAAGAGCAAACTGTGTGACTTGTTCCCAAAATTCTGGCAGTCAGTTCTGTAGAGGTGCATTCTGTGCTGCGCTGGCATCTCACCACGTTGTCTATACTTTGAGTACGGGTTGGGCTGCATGTTAATTATTTACATACCTGCAGAGCTGGATTTTCTCAGACAGGTAGCCTGTTATTAAAGATAACATTTTGAAGTCACCCAGGCCTGGGCTGAAATCCACTGCTGCTTCTGCATCATACTTTTAAACCCTTTGACTTCACCTGCAGGGATGGTCACACCTTGCAGAATTGTGGGGGATTAGCAGTAATAAAGGGAAAGAGCCAGACACACAGTACTTGGTCAGTAAATGGTGTCTATTTTTATTTTACCTTTTGTCAGCTCCTTCTTCCCTTGCCTTCATTACTTTGTTGGCTTTTTCCTTGGTAATAGGTTTTTACTAGATGAAAAATGTTTTAATATTGTAGCAGCCAGGCAAGTTTCAAAACTTGGCCTCACCCCCTGCCTGCCAGGTGAGTGACCTAGTCCAGGTCACTTAACCTTCAGCCTCACTTTCCCTGTCTCAAAACTGAATACTAATAGTACTTGAGTTTATTGTGAGCATTAGCTGAGAAAATATACTTAGCTCTTGGCCCATGATGCCTTCCACATTATTTATTTATTTATTTATTTATTTACTTACTTACTTATTTAAAAAGGGTGAAACGGGGAGAGATTGGAGCAGCCCCCATGGTCACCTTGCCAGCTTTGTGAATGTGGGCCTCTCTGGCTCCTGGTTTCCTTCTTGTAAAACGAGAGGTGGGTTAGGTGACCTCCAGGCTGTTCTGACGCGCCTCTGTCATCCACTGGGTCCAGTGTGGTGACTCGGGCGGGTTGGATCCTGAGCTCTCTGCAATGCAGGTTGCTGGAGGAAGAGTCTTCCAAGAGGGCTGAACTGGAGAAGTGGCACTTGGAGCAGCAACAGGCAATTCAGACAACGGAGGCGGAGAAGCAGGAGCTGGAGAACCAGCGTGTCCTTAAGGAGCGGGCCCTCCAGGAAGCCATGGAGCAGCTGCAGCAGTTGGAGCTGGAGCGGAAGCAAGCGCTTGAGCAGTACGAGGTAGTCAGGCCTCTTCCTGCAAACACGTGCCTTTAAACGCAGACATTTTCAAACAACAGAGTATTTGCTTCACTGTAAGAAGCTGTGTAAGAATTTTGCTGATCTATAAGTAAGGATGTTATTGAATCAAGCTTGGGTCTGCTTGCCCGTGCACAGTAAAGCCAATCTACTGACCCCGGGTTGTGGTGAAGGAAAGTGCAGCGTTTACTGCAGGGCACCAAGCAAGGAGTTCAGGACGACTCAAGACACTGGAACTCCCTGAGGGGTTTCAGCAAAGCATTTTTAAAGGCAGGGTGAGGGAGAGGCATCCGAGGGTGTGTGATCAGCTCGTGCACGATGCTCTGATTGGTTGATGGTGAGGTAACAGGGCGGTGTGATGCGGTTAAGGGGTTAAGATGATCAATCCTTGGGCTCCAGTTGGTCTGGGGGCTACATGCTCATGATTGTCAAGTAGTGAATTTTGTCCATTTGGTGGGGGGTTTTAGCATCTGAAAAACAACTCAGGAAATATACATCAGGTACTGTTATCTTGGCACTTCAGAGAGGAGCTAAAGCGGAGGATATGGGGAAAGGGTCTGTCTGTGAAGGCCCCATAGCGTCCTGCTCAGTTACAAGAAATCTTTACAGGTGATGAGGCGTAACAGAGTCCAATCAGGAGACCGAAACCACACAGTAATTTGAACAGGGAAAGTTTAACATAAACAGCTATTAACTATAACAGGGGATTACCTGCTAAGCAGCAAAGAAAACTTGTAAGAATGCAGGAATGGCATGCCTAGGAAGCAGCCACTGCCTCGGGGGCTGAGGTGGAGCACCCCCAGAGCACCCAGGGAAGGAACACATCTGGAAGAGGGTCCCCCTTCCCCCTCGGGCCCCTTAAGCCCACTGCTGTGATCCAGCCCTTGGAGAGGGCATGGCCTTGGCCCACTGGACGGCACTAAAGCCCAGCGAGGTGCTGTCACTGGGAAGCTGCCCTCTGGGGCACTGGTGTAAGCTGCCCACAGGGGAGGTGCCACTAAAACCCAATGGGGTGAGTACCACGGGTGTCCCACGTGCTGCAGGAGCTGCCAGAAGAGTGCAGTGGAGCCTGGAAGCAGAGCCCCTGCCTCCTCCAGTGTCCTGCCAGCCCTTCCACTGACAAAGCTTAAGTGGTGGCAGCTGGCAAGGAAAAATTGTCCTGTCGTCACAGGCGGGACAATTGTCCTGTTGTCACAGGCAGGACAATGAAGGGCGGATTTGGAGCCAAGAGGCGGTAAAGCTGTAACTGACACACAAGGATCTTAAACATTCATCTGAAATTAGTGTGAATTAGGGCCTCCATGTGATCTCAGGCAGGTCACTCAGCGGCTCTGAGTCCTGGGTTCCACATCTGAGAAATGATGGTAAAATGGTTCCTGCTGCTTGTGGCTGTGAGGACTTAGTGAGATAATCCACAAGTGTATAGTAAGCCCCCCGTCATCACTACTTCTCTTAAACTACCCGTGCATTTGCACAGCCCCAGATCTGCTTTCGTTCCAGGGAGTTAAAAAGAAGCTGGAGATGGCAACCAGTAAGACCAAGAGCTGGAAGGACAAAGTGGCCCAGCATGAAGGGTTAATTCGATTGATAGAACCAGGTAACACACTCCTTGAAATAATCGGGTATTCAGTTTATTTTTGTTTTATTTGTGTACTTGAATTGTTTAAAAAAAAAAAAAAGGGACTCCCTTAGCCCAAATACACAGAAACCCAGCTGTTTAGGGTAAATTTCTCTGCTAGATAAGAAGGCCTGGTTAATCCCTTTGTGTACATCTTCTGGTTGTTTCAGCTGGTCTGATCTTTATGGATGTTCCTCAGAGAAGAAATGAAGTAGAAAAGTTACTCTTTTGTCTTTGGAAAATGATAATGTTAATTGAAGAATATAATACTTCCCATGTTGGATATATGTTTATCTCTTAGGCTCAAAAAACGCTCACCTGATCACTAACTGGGGCCCCGCAGCGTTCACCCAGGCAGAGCTGGAGGAGAGGGAGAAGAGCTGGAAGGGGAAGAAGGCCACGGAGTGAGCGGAGCCATGTGGGTTCCGAGCGGAGCTGGAAAGCTTGATGCTAAAGACAAAAGGACCTGGCTTTGCTGCTTCTAACCCTCCTTCCTCCAGCGCCTCCTGTGGGGTCAGTATACTAAAGGAGCCTTCTTACTTACCTGCCTGCAAATAAGGGCTTACCCGAGAAAAAAAAGGTCGACATCCTCAGGCTTTATTCGCGCTTTCTTTGAAAGCTTCTGCTTCTAGAAATTCCTTTTAGCTCTGAGTTTCTCATCAGAAGGAGGCAGGGCCCAGACGACGCAGTGGTGCCCTCCATCTGTCGTGTGTGGCGGGGAGCGGGCGCTCAGCTCACCAGTGTCAGAACCTCTGCGGACTGGAGCCAGTTGGCCAGTTGTTTTCCTGGCAGTGAGTTTCCTCCTCTGAGTGCTTGTTTCTAAACTAGACGGGCCAGTCTGCTTGCTGTGGCCTGCGGCTGACGCGGAATGCCTCTGACCATTGCTGCTCTGCTGGAGAAGTCACTGCTCCCGCATGTGGACCTCGTTCTAAGTGGTCACAGTCCATGTATTTGGTTGTGCAGGTTTCTGTTTAATGCAGCCTGACCAACTGGCACCCTGGCTCCAGCGGCACTGTCTCAAGGAGGCAGAAGTCTTCTAAACAACGCATTGGTTGAGACAGATACTTATGAATCAAAGACAGCACAGAGATGAACTAAGTAAATCCCATTGGAATGATATTTTGATACTGAATTCCTCTTCATATTTAAAATGGTTTCAACTGTCAGCGTGCTGACCGACAGACCCCTTGGTTTTACTTTTGTAGTTACTGTACAGAACATTTCAGGAGTGTGTGAATGCTTGTCCTAATCAGGCCTTTTCCTTAATAAATACGGATATGATCATTTCTAGGAATTATCATGAAAAAAGTTTTAAAATGTATTTTTGTGACGTGCTATGTTGAGAGGGAGCAAAATATTTATAATTTGCAAACATTCTTACCTAAATATTGTACACTGTAATTTGCTGAACTTTCTTAATTTTTTGCTAATTTTCTAAGATGTATTAAAAATATTTTGTATGGTTTTTGTTTGTTTTTTAGTAAAAGGAACTAAGTAAGAAAGTAAAGAATACCAGAAGAGCATACATTTTAAGCTGTCTGATTAAATAGAACAGCAGGGTAAGGCTCTGTGTGTGTGTGTGTGTGTGTGTGTGTCCGTGTGTGTGTGTGTGTGTGCATATTTCCATATAATGAGATGGACTTGGGTTTAGGGACACTTCCTGAAAACCTGGGTTTGTAGTTTGGACCCTCAAACCAATGCTATCACGAAGTTAGTTATGGCCTTAGGCTTGGTGTTTGAGTCACTGATGTGGGAAACCACAGCAGACGTGTCAGCTCACAGACGGGAACTTAGAAGAATGACTTCTCCCTCATTGTTGCTGTTACCTCCAAATCCTCCTACCTCTTCTTCCCCGAATTTTCTTTTTATGCCTTTCAGTTTTTGTTTCAGTTTTGCCAGAGTAAACAGTGTGGTTTTTTGTTTTGGTTTTACACAGTTGTGGAGATTAAACCTATTGTGGACTGAGCAGGCCCACTCAGTCCAGCTTGATTGTGTCTTGGAAAGCTGAACTTTCCCTGCTAGAGGAGAGAACACACTGGTTGGTGTGCTTTAACTTCTTTCTCTACTGCAGTGGTTCTCAGCTGGGGACGGTTTTGCCAAGACATGATCAAGTTAGACTGAGTGGGCCCACTTCGTCTAGCAAATGTCTGGAGGAGTGATGTCTGGAGACATTTTTGGTTGTCACTACTGGGAGTGTTACTGACATATGGTGGGTAGAGCCCAGGGATGCTGCCAAACATCCCACGGTTCACAGGACAGTCCCCGTACAAAGAATTACTTGGCTAAATGTGAATAGTGCCCAGATTGAGAAAGCTTTCTATGCAGAAAGGCAGGTTCTAGGTCTGGAACACAGCAGGCTCTTGGTGTCAGGGTTTCCTCGAGAAGAACCCCAGGATTTGACCTCTTTGGTGTAAATGGGATGCATGTGGAAGGAGAGGGGTCATGTGCTCTGTGAGCTGACAGACAGCAGAGGGCAGGAGCCTTGGCCCCGACCCCACACCCCACTGTGAGGGGCATTGTGCTTCAGAAGCTCTGTAAATGCCTTTCCAATGTAGGTGTGAAAGGAATTGCTTTGGATATGCTTTAAAGTCTTCCTGGGATGCAAGTTGCTGAAGTGTGAAATGTAAAGCTGTCATGACCTTGATTTCTTCCCATGAGTCTTGAGCACAGGGAGTGAGCGGCTGTCAGAACCATCCCACAGCTGGTGAGGCACGAGTGTTCAGATTTACGGCCCCGCTGGGGGTGTACCTCGCAGAGCACTGGTGCCTGTTCCACTTGGCAAAGCCTCCCTTATGCCTTCAGGGTTGTGCCAGCGAGGCACAGCTGCCTGAGTGGAGCAGGGATCAGGTGACGTCCAGCCACGGGGAAGCAGGGAAGAGTGCAGTCTGGCTTTTACCAGTTCATAGTAGGGGCTTAACATTTATTGAAAGAGTCAGTCTTGGGAATACTTCAGTGTCTTTCTGTTTCTTTCCTCTCACTAACCCTCTACTTCCTTCTTTATATTTATATTCATCCTGAGACTTGTAAAAGTTCACCCCTCAGCTTTAGGAAGCTATATGGTGATACCTACTCATGCTAAAGACAACACCCACACAGCAGATCCCCCAGGGGAAGGGATGCACGTGTCCACCAGAAGACCCTGCAACAAGGTCCACAGCAGCTTCGTTCAGGATGACCCAAACCGGCAACAACCCAAGTGCCCGTCAGCAGAGAGTAAATCGATGAATGTGGTGTATTCAGACCAAGGATACTTTAATAAAAAGTAGCATCACTGAGAAATGCAGCAGCATGGATGGATCTCACAGACATTATGTTGAGCAAAGAAGCCAAGCACAGAGAGCATACTGTGTGATTCCACTTATATTAATTTCCAGAACCAGCAAAGCTGATCTGTGGATTTCGAAGTCAGAATTGTGGTTACCTAGGGGTGGGAAGGGTGGTTATTGACTGGAAACAAGTGAACCTTCTGGGATGCTGGAAATGGGTAGTGGTTACAAAAGTAAAATATGCCAACTTTATGCTCAAGATTTGTACAGTTTGCTGTTTGTAACTAGCGCCTCTAGAATGCTGCAGCAGCTAGTCCCCAGGGGTCAGCTGGTCCAAAGGCTGCACTTTGCAGAGAAGAACCTGGAAGGGCACGAGCCACATCCACCCAGTAACACCTTACCCTCTTCTCAGACGTGATTCATTACACCACCTGCCTCCTCCTGAGTCCTTTAAATGCATTTGACATCAATCGTTTTTATCTCAGTGTGTTTCTATCTCCCTCACTCAGAGGGCAAAGCAGGTCGCATGTCCCCACTTCACCCCTCTGTGGAAGGATGGCCTGACCCCCCTGGTCCTGTGCTCAGCTTCCGTTGACCTTTCTGAGGTTGCTGAGTCTTTGGCCTTGGGTAGTGGGTGAATCTGTTGTGGACACTACATTCCATCCAGGGCTAGCCTCAGATTCCTTTTCTATCCCTACCACACGGACACAGCACACTGACTCTCAGGGCTGTGCACCCACAGGAATGAAGGTTTTCCACCCTGTTTATGTCCACCTCCTCAACAGCTGTCCTTAGGGCCCAGCTGAGGGCCAGTGGGACGTGAGGCATGGGGAGAGGGAGGCTTTGTCTAGCAACCCCCATTCCGTTCAGCCCTGAGCCCAGTAGCCTGCCGTCCTCCCCATCTGAACGCTCATTTCCTGTCCCGTGTTGCCCTGCCTCTGCTTTGACCAGCAGCCTATGGTGGTCTCTTGATTACAGTGGGTTTTGGTGTGCTCCGCTGTGGCCTCATCCTGTCTAGGGCTCTGCTTCCTGGGCTGCAACTGTTTTCCAGGTTAGGGAGGTTTTCAGCTATTATCTCTTCAAATATTTTCTCAGGCCCTTTTTCCTCTTCTCCTTCTGGGACCCCTATAATGGGAATGTTAGTGAACTTGATGTTGTCCCAAAGGTCTCTTAAACTACCCTCATTTCTTTTCTTCTTTCTCCTTTTTCTGTTTAGCAGCAGTAGTTTCCACTACTGACTGTCTTTCAGCTCACAGATCATTCTTCTGAATCATTTAGTCCACTACTGATTCCTTCTAGTGTATTTTTCATTTCAGTTATTGTATTCTTCATCTCTGGTTGATCTTTCTACTTTTCTTAAAAACTTCTAACTTCTCGCTCTGTGCATCCATTCTCCCCCCGAGTTCTTTGGTCACTTTTACAGTCATTATGCTAAACTCTTTCTTGGGTTGATTGCCTATCTCCTCATCACTTAGTTCCTCTTCTGGGATTTTCTCTTGTTCCTTTGGGTACGACATATTCCTCTGCTGCTTCATTTTGTCTGAGTTGCTATTTGTATTTTTATGTATGTGGTGGGTTATTTATGTTTCTCAACCTTGGAGCAGTGGCCCTCTGTAGGAGACGTCCTGTGCATCCCAGCAGTGCATTCCCCTGTCAGCCAAGCCATATGCTCAAGGGGTTCCCCCTAAGAGGGCCTTGTGGGTCCTTCTGTTAGGGCACGCTGACTATGTGGGTGGTCTGGGAGACTAGGTTGGACCCTGGTCCCGTTGGTTGCCAGGCCCTGCCTTGTACGGAGGGTGCTGGCTGCTATTTAATGGGGCCTGGTTACTAGGCAGCTGGTTGTGGAACCACAGGGGCCCCGGGGCTAGTGCTGGCTCACAGGTGGGCGGAGTCAGGGTCCTGAAGACTTTGGGGCTGCTGCCCTCCCACTAGCAGGTGAAGCCAGTTCCCGGGGTGAGTGCCAGACGACTGGCAGGCAGAGCTGGCTCCTGCAGTTTGGCTGCAGGACCTGGGGATCCCAGACCTCGCTGCAGATCATTGGTGGGGGTCCAGTCGTTGACACCGCTGAGTATGGAGTCTAGGGTGTCCCGAAGGTTGCACTGGCCTGCTAGTGGGCAGGGCCAGGGCCCAGCTGGTCCCAGCATAGGGTCCGGCTTGCTGTTGGTGGGCTCAGTCCCGCGAGATTTCTGCTTCTAGTGTCGACACCGGGGAGGGTGAGGCGGGTCTAGAGGCTTGTGCAGGCTTCCTGGAGGGAAGAGCCGGTGCCTGCCCACTGGTGAGTGGAGCCGGGTCCTGGCCCTCTGGTGGCCCTCAGGGCCGTGTGTAGGGAGAGGCCCTGGAGGGTGGGCTCTGGAAGCCTGCAGGCTGCCTGTCCGGGTGCGGTGGGGCTGAGTGCCGAGTTGGGCGCTTGGCCTGCGGCGTCTCAGCGCCGCACCTGGGGGCTGCGGGGCGGGGCCGGGAAGGTTTTCAAAGTGGCGCCGCCAAGCCGGACGCCAGACCAGCGCCCTCGCAGCACGGGTAGCTCCCGGGGAAGCTGCCGCCAGTGTCCCGGCCCCAGGGTGAGCCTCAGCTGAACCCCCCGCCTCTCCGGGAGTCTCTCCAAGACCGGCAGGTAGGTCTGGCCCAGGCTCCTATCAAATTACTGCTTTTGCCCTCCAGCCCTGTTTGCGCGTGGGATTTGGTGTGCGCCCATCAGCAGTGAAGTCTCTGTTTCTCTGGGTCTTGTGGGACTCCTGCCGTTAAGTCCCGCTGGCCTTCAAAGCCAAATGCTCTGGGGGTTCGTCTTCCCAGTGCCGGACCCCCGGGTTGGGGAGCCTGACGCAGGGCTCAGAACTCACACCTGTGGGAAAACGTCTGCAAGATACTTATTCTCCAGGTTGTGCGTCACCCACCTGGGGGGATGGGGTTTGCTTATATTGAAAGTCCACCCCTCCTGTCTGGCTCCTTGTGGTTGCTTCCATCATGGGTTCTTTTGCCTTTTGGGTTCGAGCAGCCAACAATGAAACTAAAGCTAAGGTCAATGCAGCACAAACTTTATCCAGTGGCTAAAGAATGGAGAAGCAGGAACTAAGTTCACAGACCAACATCTCAGGTCCACCTGGTGAGAGGAATTTAATTTTACAGAGTAAAGACAAAGGGAGGAGGAGTGAGGCTAATGATGGGGAGCCATGTGCATTAGTCTACTGGGGAAGGGACAGGGCTTTTTCAAGGGAATGGAGCGCCACCCCTTTTTATCCTTTTTTGGCCCTTAATGGACT